TCGCCATTTGTATGTCTTCTTTGAAGACTGTCTAGTTAGTTCCTCTGACCCTTTAAAAATCAGACTGGTGTTTTTTCACATTGAGTTATGAGTTCTTTATATATTTCAGACATTAACCTCATTTCTGATATATGGTTTGAAAAACTTTTCTTCCATTCCATAGGTTGCCTTTCCATTTTATTACTTTTGCGGTGCAGAAGCTGTAAGTTTGACATAGTCCCATTTGTTTATATTTTTACTTCTGTTTTTCTCGTTATATCCAAAAATCTGTATTTTTGTCTAGGCATATTATGGTGTTGGGTCATATGTTTAGGTCTTCAATCCATTTCAACTCAATTTTTGTGAGTGGTGTAAGATAGGAGCCAAATTTCTATCTGGGTTTATTCAATTTCCCCAGCACCATTTGTTGAAGAGACTGTTCAGTCCCCATTGGGTATTTTTTGGATCCTTTGTTGAATATTAATTTTCCATATATGTGGGTCTTACTTCTGAGCTCTTTATTCCATTTCATGGTCGTTGTTTCCGTTTTCATGCCAGTACCATGCTGTTTTAACTAAATAGGCTTGTGGTATATGGTAGTTTCCCCTTGTCTGTAGTTTGGCTTTCTACAGTTATTTGCCCGCATCAACCACAGTCTGAAATATTGGCAAGTTCCAGAAATAAACAATTCATAAGTTGTAAATTGTCCAGCATCTCCACACTGTAACATGCCCCTCCACCTGTTGGTCATTTAGTAACCATGTTTGTTAGCAGACCCACTGTCACGGTACTGCAGAGCTTGTGTTCAATAACAGTCCCAAAGCCCAAGAGTAGTGATAATGGCAGTTTGGTGTACACAGCACTGGGTACTGTCCACTAGGCAGTACCCGCCAGGGTCTTGGAATAGGTCGCCTTCAGTAAGGGGAAAATGCTGTAGTTTGAAATTAAAAAAATGTGATGCCTCTGGCTTTGTTTTTCGTTCTCAGATTGCTTAGGCTTTTGCGGTATTTTGTGGTTACATACAAATATTAGGACTGTGGGGATTTTTCCTATTTCTGTGGAGAATGCCATTGGGATTTTGATAGGGATTTGTGTGAATCTATAGATCACTTTGGGTGGTATGGACTTTCAACAATATTCTTCTTTCCATAAGGCTGTAAAGGTTGAGAAAGAAAGACAACCACACAGTTGTATGTGTGAGCACTGGGAGCGCTAGCTACCTGCCCCTGCAACTTACTTGTTTCTTCAGAACCTGCATGAGGCCACCTCTTCTTCTGGGTGCCTGGACCCAGCAGTGTCATATGGTGTTTATCTTCTAGAAGATGTAGACTGAGAGACACAAAATTAAAGGATATACGTTTAGGTATGGCAGTTAGTGTTAAGTAAAAAAATAAAGCAGGTCTGGGAAGTGATCAGTGGTTAAGGGTTGTAATTTTGTACAGATGGTGGGTACAGTACAGGTAAAAGGAGATAAAGGAAGAAGCGTGTGCGTATTTGTGGAGCACGTGCTCCATTCAGAGGGAAAGCCTGTGCACGTATGCTGAGGAAGGAGCCTGCCTGGACACTAGAGGCCTGTATGACTGAGAATGGTGAAAAAGGACCACCCACTGTGGAAAATTAAGGAAATGACTGCTGATAGTGGCCTGATTATTTACAATGTTTTGGTTTTATTTTCCTGGATGAATTAGGAAGCCATTGGTGAGCTTTGAGCAAAGATGGGATGCCATTTCACTTACGTTTAATTAGGATTATATAGTCTTCAGTATTCAGAACAGACTGAAGTGGATCAAAGACAGGGCAGGGGTCCAGTGAGGAGGCTATTGCAATTATCAGGATAATCATAATGGTCACTTGGGCCAGGGTGCTCTAGGTGTTCAGCAGTGGGGAGACCCTTGAGCCAACAGGATTTTCTGATGAGTTATGATGTAGTTTATAAGAGCAAGAGAAGAGTAGCTTGAAGAACTGAAAGGACATAAGACAGGGAATACTGAGAGGAGGAGCCTAGGGGTTGGGGTTGGGACATCATGTCAGTTCTGCACATATTAATTTGGAATACTGCCCCGGCAGTTGTATATGTGATGTACCTATACATAGAAGGGAAAGTGGAAGTAATCCTTATGAAGATATTTAAAGCTCTGAACTATATGAGATTATTAAGTGGGTGAGGAATCCAGAGAAGAGAAGAGTCTGCAGACTGAGCCCTGGATGGTCCAGTGTTAAGAGGTCAGAGATATGAGGAGGAACAAGCCTAAGAGGGAGATGCAGCAGCCAGCAGAGAAGCTGGAAATCCAGGCGTGTGGCTCAGCAAATGTCAAGGAAGAGAGTGACTGCAGATGCATGTTAGACTTTTTAATTTCATCCTCCACACCTCAATGTCTCATCTTGTCCATTGAGTTATTTCTCTATGCTAAATTCTGGATCATCTCCTTAGAGGCAATACAGCAGAATAGTTGGTAGAGTCGATCCCAGTGACAAGCAGACTGGCTGTAACAAATTCCAGCAAGAATATACTAATGAACACACTTATAAAATTAACAACAAACAATAGAAAATAAAATAGCAAGTATTTCAATAGCACGTGTATGCTTAGTAAGCACGTGATAAGCATTAGGTCACTAATTTTCTATTCACATGTTTCTAATCAATGGTTTAACTTGGGTGTTTTATTTCACTGGCAATTTTTCACTTCTGAAACTCATGTTTAGTTCTTTTCCAAATATTCATATTCTTACTTTGCTTTTTATTCCTATAGTTTCGATTGTATACTACGTTTTTAAATCATTTTAAATGTCCATTTTTATAATGCCCACCGGTTTGTTATGACCTAAAGCTCTGATGTTCTGTTCCTCTGGCTTGTCATGGCTGTGACTGTCTTACAGGGGTATTTTTGTATCAGTGTTTTATAACTTTGCATTGGTAAACTTGCCCTCCCAGGGTTTTACCTATAAGGATCTCGTGGCCAAAGGGATTTTGCACTTGCTTCTTCCTAGTACCCTAAGCTTACCATTGCCTTCTGGGCCAACAGCTATTTTGTAATGTGGGTTTCTTAGTGTGTCTACCTAAGTGGAAAAACCTGTCTTGAAATTCAGAACAATGAACTCGACTCTAGTGGATTTTGGTTCCATTTATATTAACCGAATGGTTCTGGAAACCCTACACTATCTTCATCATCCTTACATGCAGTGAGGCAGACTATTCGCAGTGAAAGGTGCACAGAGTAAGAGTCTGTGAAGGTCTCAGCTCCACAGGGACCTCAGTGCTTATCCTCCCAAAGGTTATAAAAGAACAACTAAGACCTGTGTGTAGACCCAGGGCCAGGTCATTTTCTTACAGTCGGTGTTGAAGTTCTATTTTGTTTTATTTGTGGGGATTTCACTTTCTTCCTTGGGAAAATTCAGAATGCCTCTTAAATTTTATTCCACCTTTCTAGCAGGTTAGGTTTTAGAGGTCAGTCTTGTGGATTGAAGTCGGATTATTTATTTTGTCACATTAACAAAGCCAGAGGTACTCTGCATAGATTTTCAGAGCTGGGATTCTATATCAAGATTCTCTAAGAAAACTGGCCTTTCCTAAGGGCATACACAAATGCATGCTACTCAGATCCACATACTTGAAGATCCACCTGTAGTTTGTACTTCTGGCCAATGTGAAATCTTTTTCTACCCTTGCAAGCAGGTATTTCTGAACCCTAGTGCAAAGCTTTTCATTTTGCTTATAGGACATGGGGTAGATGAAACAGAAATGGGTATCATCTAGATAAAAGAACTAATTTGGTCTTGCTATTTTGTAGAGTAAAACAACTACTAAGACTAGTTTTAGTTTCCTTGTATTCTTATTTTAAAGCAGTTGTGACATTATGACTCCCTCAAAGTTATATAAAGTTTCACAAATTTGATTAAGCTGTGAAGAAGGAACTGAGACAAACCTAATTGGATTTTGCTTTATCAATCACCCTGGAACTCTGTTTGCTTATATCGAGTTTTCAATTCAAATATCAAAGATAATTTGCTACCAAAAAGAAACTGTCTTTGACTCAACATTAAGAAGATCCATGTAATTCACTATGCTATTTGCCTGTTTAGGAAACCGAAAAATGTGCTTGCAGAACAACAAATATTGTTATAGCGCTGTCGGTTCCATTTTAACATGGTTAATGTTCAAGTGCAATAGAAACAGGAATCAGCACAGGAATATGATTTGGTTTGCTATAAATGAAGTCTTTGTTTTGAGCAACCATATTGTAGTTGATATGACAATATATATATCTAGTTCTATTGCATAGCTACAACTCCAATTTTTACAAATGTGTTCATTGTAATTCAAATTATCATGCTAACATATATTTGAAAGAAGAGCATTTTGATTTTGTATAACACTAAATTATTACACTTTTTTGCAATATTTACATTTGTTGAAATTATGGGACCATAAGTAACAAAACTATTTCATAAATAAAGAAGCATGAAGGAATTTATTTCAAGATATAAATGTTGAAAATTTTACATACCACCACCAAATTACTTCAATAAGACTAAAATTATCACTCAATAACTTATAAGTAGTATCTTTTCAAGGATCAAGGCTTGTATTCATGTGTGGGATGTATACATATCTATAACATATTCATGTATTAACTATGTTAAATTCCTGTTTCTTTTTCCCTCACTATTCTATATAACCCAGCTGTTCTCAACCTGTGGGTCGTGACCCCTTTAGGGGTTGAATGACCCTTTCACAGGGGTTGCCTAAGACCATTGGAAAACACATATATAATTACATATTGTTTTTGTGATTAATCACTATGCTTTAATTATGTTCAATTTGTAACAATGAAATTGGGGGTCACCACAACATGAGGAACTGTATTAAAGGGTCACAGCATTAGGAAGGTTGAGAACCACTTATATAACCCATACATTTCTTTTTGCTTCAAAAAACTAATTTAAACATGAGATGGGAGACCTGTATTTGATTAAATGTTGTGATTTCTTGATAAGCAAATAATTGGATTTGCTGCTAGTACAACTTCTCTATTCTTTAAAGCTGAACAGGATTGTTTTTTGTTTTGTTTTGCTTTTTGTTGCTTTTCAATGTGGTCAGAAATATTTACATAATGAAGAGAAAATTACTTTGGTAAAATTTTATTATATTTCACTTTAATGAGTAACAATTTATTAATTTCAAAGACTTTCTGCTCAATAATAATTCTGCATTCCTCATTATTGCCAGTATATAACTGCATCACTGTCAATATTTTCTAGCTTCACAATGATGCATCTTCCAAAAAAACATACGGTTTTTCTTTCAGAGAAGCACTACCCATTCCTGCAATGAACTCCAAACCAAGAAAGCAGGCATTCATAGGATGAAATAGAATTTTGTCTACGTTGTAAATGTCACACCCTATAGCATCTGAAGTCACACATTCTATGACACTGAAATTATAGTATATAACACTTTAATATGTTTATATTAAATTCACCAATATATAAAGTAGAAAATTAGAATGAAGAATTGAACTTTGTTTTACTATTTTTCATCACTGAAATAGATTTCTGCTCTGCAATTTGCGAAGGTTATAGGTCTTCAGAAGTATGGAATATATTTTTGCATTCTACACTAGGGTTTGAGGAGTCCAGTTCCAGGCCAACATTCCCGGGGTGACATTTCAGTAGGCAATTGCACAGGCTTTGCCTTGCAGGCCTCATGGGAAAAATTATCATCTTAGGGAACATACTCTGTGCACAGCCCGTGCATTAGAATTCCTGGAGGGAGTTAACAATTAAGGCTTTAAGATTCCTCAGGCCAGCCATGCTCATACACATCTGTATTCCCAGCCTAGGTGCTTCCTTCAAAAGTCTGTTTAGTAGGGGAACGGGCTGAGGCACTTTTCAGGTGTCTCTGCCAAGACCTCTTTAGTGGGGGTCTTGATTAGGATTCATGTCCCCACTCTGCCCCAGTACTTTTCCACTCTTGGCCCTCCCCTATTTCCCAAGTCCCTTGTGTCCATAAAAAGGCAGGGGCCTTCTGTTCTGTTTGTGGCTCCTTGGCAGTTAGATGATGCCCCCTGTCTGCACAGCCTGTCATGTAACCTCGCTTTGCTGTTGCACATGCAGAAATGGAACACTGGGGTGCAGTCATCTATTTTGATCTCGTGTTACTCTATTGCCGTAAGTAAATCGGGCTTGATTGTTACTTTTAGTTTGGTGTGTCCTCGTAGACAATCTTGACACCCGAGAGCTCCATGACATTTGTAACTTCACCTTTCAGTGGTAGATTTTCTTTGAATAGCTTTCCTTTTTCTTTAATAAAAAGAAAATAATAAATGTATGGGGTGACATTGGTTAATAAAGTTATATATGTTGGTTTCAAATGTACAATTCTATGATATATCATCTGTATATTGCATTGTATGCCCACCACCAACTCAAATCTTCTTCTGTCACCGTATAGTTGACCTCCTTTTCCCTCTGGTCACCACCATACTGTTGTCTGTGTCTATGAGTTTGTGTTTATTTGTTGCTTTCAGTTTTATGAGTGAAATCATATGGTTCTTAACTTTCTTTTACAAAACTAATGATCTGGCCCTAACCGGTTTGGCTCACTGGATAGAGCGTCAGCCTGCGGACTGGAGGGTCCCAGGTTTGATTCCAGTCAAGGGCACATACGTTGGTTGTGGGCACATCCCCAGTAGGGGGTGTGCAGGAGGCAGCTGATCAATGTTTCTCTCTCATTGATGTTTCTAACTCTCTATCCTTCTCCTTTCCTCTCTGTTTTTTTTTTTTCTAATATATTTTATTGATTTTTTTACAAACAAAAAAAACCTAATGATATGTGCCCAGCCAGCATGGCTCAGTGGTTGAGCATCAACCTATGAACCAGGAGGTCACGTTTCAGTTCCCAGTCAGGGCACATGCCTGGGTTGTGGCTCGATCCCCAGTGTGGGGCGTGCTGGAGGCAGCCAATCAATGATTCTCTCTCATCATTGATGTTTCCATCTCTCTCCTTCTACCTTCCTCTCTGAAGTCAATAAAATTATTTTTTAAAAAACTAATGATATGTTATTGCTCTACTTAAAAATAATAGCTTGTAACACAGTCATGGAAACCATATTCAAGACATCACATTAACGCTGCTAATGCAGTATTTCCTGTGTTCAAAACTGTTGGGTTTTGGTTTCCATTACTGAATTTTAAAATTTGTGGCTCTGCATAATAATAATGGCATATTCACACCCTACCAATTAATATAATGTAAATGTTGAATCTTTCTTCCTGATATTTTTGGCATCAAATTAATCTCTTGAGAAAGAAGTTATTGGTCTCTTTTCTAATGTAGCTTGAATAATATTATGTACAGGAAAACAAAGTTTCATTGTCTAACAGACGCCTAATTAGAGAATTGAGCACTTGAATCAAGTGAGGCAAGGAAATGAATTATATAGCATTTACATGTAGAGCTATATGAGTAATAAATGCTGCTTTAAAGGGAAACTCATGAAAGCTTAGTTGAACTTTGAGCTGTTAATTTTTCTTTTTTTGATAATTGAAAAAGCAGAACATGACAGCTTTGTCCTTATAGCTTCTGTTACATTAAAGGAATGATTGAGGTTTCACTGGGATAACCAGTGATTCGTATAAAGTTTAATTTTAAAAAACATACCATAGATATTGTTCAATGTAATGAAGAATCTATGAAAATCTGAAGAAACAGCAGTGCCTGAAAATTTGAGTTAAGGTCCTCAGAGGAGCTGAATTAGAAAGGTATCATTGGTAGAAATTAAATGTTCTGTAAAAACAGCTGCTCTGTATAACTGATGAAAATTGTTTTCCAAAAAAGAAGTTTTAGCCTCTCTAGACTTTACCATATTTATAGCTGGGCTGTGTATTTGGTCACATAAGCACATTGTAGTCCAGGAGTCTACCTAATCAAGTACACAGGCTTTGCTTCCTTTGAGAGCAAAGCAATTGCTCTGACATGTAGGCAAAGTTTGATCTGATTTTAGCAGGAGGTGAGGGACTCCTCAGATACCCAACAGAGATAACTTTTGTAGCTTTACAGACAATTACGACTGTCTACCGTAAATCACACATGTCAATTTTTTCATTAGGATTTTACATTGGAAAACTAAATAAATACACAGACATTTGGGGAATTCGAGTTCCTTCACTTAAAACATAAGTTGATAGATGTACGAATTCTATTTATCCTTTCATTGTTACCTGGGTTCCTTCCTTTCTAATGCAGACTAACCTATTGCTGGGTTGTATTTATGTGTGCTCTTCTAAATGCCTGTAGTGTTAGAAAAGAAAAGTGTATTGGCTATGACTATATTCTAGTCATATGCCTAATTCTTGATAAAAGCATAGTTGTTTCGGTAGCTCCTATCCCAACTGTCCACTAGTGGGCCATTCTGATTATCACTGTCTTTAGCTGATACTTTCTGGCCACTCATTACATGTGTGGCAAGTATAAAATGCTAGCTCTATCTTGAGTGGTTCCTGTGCCTCTTTTGAAAGGCCCTATTATAGTTCCTAGACATAGGAGTTCTACTTCTAAGGCAACCATAGTAGTGGTTGGACCAGTCTTAGCCCTTCATCAAGCCTTGAAGAGTTGTGTGTTCTCAATTTTTGAGGCTCATTTGACAACTGAGACATATAAGCACGGTTGGTCCTCCAAAGTCAGCCCTTGGTGCCAATTGAAGAACACCCTAAAAGTTCTACTAAATATCTTGTTTCATAAGTTCCTTAAAAATACTCTCATGATTAAAGTCACAGCAGTCCCTGGGTTTGTTAAGGACATTAGAAGATGGCTGTATGGTGTTAAATGCTGATGCATGTGCATGCTTGTGTGTACAGAGAGACCCCTAGAGTGAGTGAGAAAATGACAGAAAACAATCAAGGCATCAGAGTCTAACTGGAAAGTCAGTAGTAAAATACTATTATGTTTCTCAAACACATTGATTCTTAAGCTATTTTAAAATCAAGTGATGTGGAGTTCTCACCAAATTATAATGTAAGGTGAAGATATGGCATATCAATTTCTGAGATATTATTAAATGCTTCAAAGAAACTAAAATGCAAAGGAATGGATTTTGAGATGGATAAATTTCTTTTTTAATATACCTAGAGGAGGAAATAAAAGATCTATTATGATGGCAGTTAATCTTCCATCTTAGTGGAAGACCTTGTGGGGAAGTAAATGAAATGTTCTAATTTTTTATCAAATAAAATAGGCACATGACTTTTTAAAAATGAAACATGTATGTGACATAAAAAAGCAACTGTCCTTTCTCTATTCATCTGTCCTGTTACTTGCCGGAAAAAAATGCTTTGAACTCTCTTATTTTTTTTTTTTTGAAACCTAAATGTATTTTCTTATACATATCTTAATCATTTTAACCATTATTTATAGTTACAGGTGTTTTTCTCAACTACAAACTTCCTTACCCCCCCCCCCCAATATACATAGTTGTCACTATTTGTAATTGCTCTCTTTAAAGCCTTTAAGTAAACTTACTTGGTAAATATATGTAGCATACTTGCATACCTATTTCTTATTCAATAAATTATGTGGAGTATCATGGCAGACATTGGTGATTGTTCATATAGCAGCTATTACTCCTTTCTTGCTTGGCATACAGAACAAATAAATAAAATCCTGCTTTATATAACAAGATAATTATACTGTGAAACATTGCATCTGTCTTATTGCTAAATTTAACACCATCCTTATCTCTCTTCCATTATTATATTTTGTAGTACCTCCCCTGAATTTTCTTGGTCAGAATAAGGGTAGAGTTCTAGCCTCCCATTTAGAAGGCAATCTTGTATTTCAAAAATTAATTATAAAATAGGTTATATTTTCCAGGAAAATCTTAAATCTCATTCCTTGGTAGCACGCTTCTAATGGCTGTAAAACTGAGACAGATGGCTCTTTATGTGAAGGACAGTCTCTTGGATATAGAGTAATAAAGTCTACAGCAGATGCTTCAGGAGCTTTATTAATGAGAAACAAACAGGGGAGATGTCCAGAAAAGGCTCATTATCTTATTAAAGGGACATTAAGCCATATCCAGCATGTATTAAAGCAGATATTAAAGAGTTTACTACATATCTTTGGAAACATCTTAACATTGTACTTTTTCCATTACTTTTACATGTCTTAACTGTCTTACCTATTAGCTGAGGATATTGTGTAAACAACAAAAATCCACATTGGATTCACTGTACATTCCTTGAGATCTAACATGCTGCGTTCCAGTATTTTGTGATTTGTGCTGATAAGGCTACATAAATTAGATGCAATTCAGAGTACCGCCATCTAAAAGTTAATAATGCCCACGTTGTCAAATCTCCTGGCTAAAGTTGACTGCTGAATTGATTTCTTGCGGCTTGTTGATCTTACTGGTTCATCTTTTTTTCTTTCCTCATTATTTAAAAAGTTAGTCATTTTATTGCAAAACACCTTTTTCTGCCAACATACAGTATGATAATTCCTTGTAAGAAAGTGATAGGTAACATCTGGGCTAAATTCCACCACACTGTCCCACATGTGGAGAAAGTCTAAAGAAAGGAGCCAGTTTAATTTCTAAAGGCCAAGAATCAAACCTCATATGCTCTAGAAGCTCTTACTTGCCAGAAAATATTGCATATGTCCACAACTGGCCACATACTACACTGTTGGACCTTTAAAGGCTCCCATTCATCATATTTTTTGACAAAAAGTTTGTATTACTTTGTTCTCTCTCGGTTTTCTTAGCATGTTCCATACTTTTTTAATGGGATAGTCTGTTAGAAGATTGTTTGTAAATTTCCTCAAACTACTTCTTAAAAATGTGGGTCCTACCACCCGTGTAAGCCAGAACCATCTGATACCCAGAATTTCTATGTATACTGAGCCAAACTTTGGGGTGCTTACAGCAATCACTATTATTATTGCTCTAGCATTCATTGTTATGCAGTAGTGAACATGTAGGTGATGGTGAGGCTTAATTTGCCAAAAATCAACAATACAGGAATAAAAGTCCAAGGGATGTAAGCTTTTTAATTTGTTCAAAATCAGCCATGCATAGAAAGTTAGTTAATAGACATTATTATGGGGAAATGGGTTGAAGAAATGACTTTCAGAGAGAAAAAATATATAACTCCATTTTCTATAAAGTTAAGGAATTTCAATTTAGGATGCAAATCCATGTACAATATTGACAGGGCTGATGTTCACAATTTATGGCCTGACACACTGTGTAAAACTTTGGTTAATCCCAGAAAATTATAAGAAGCAAATTCTAAAGCTTGACATT